GATATTCTCTGTCTTTCATTTCCACCTCAGATTGATAAATGAGAATGCATGTAAAAGGAAATAATACTTGCAGATTTTCAGTACAATGTAAATGCTGTGTCTTTGTCAGTCTTCACGAAGGCCCCGTGAGGAGCGAGATGTATCCCAGTGTGAGAGTGTAGCCTCGACTGTGTCAGCTCAGGAGGATGAAGACATTGAAGCATCCAATGAAGAAGAGAATCCAGAAGACAGTGAAGGTAACTTTTCTGCAAAGGAAACTTGTGTGTGCACAGAAAGGGACCTACGTTTTGTGCCAGTTACCTGCTCAGAAAGCTGTGTTCCACTTCATAACGTAATGCCCAAGTACTATGTTTCAGTTGGATTTTAGCAGTTGGAACTTACTCGGGGAGGGGGGGAAGCGTTTTTGGTGGTGAGCAGCCTTAAGGTGTTATTGCTTAGTATTTTGAGATGCTTTAACTATGCTGTCATCTACAGAGTAAACAGGCAGCATCTGATCAAAAAACTTGTGCGTGTTGAAACAAGTTGAATCAAAGATACGTAACCTTTGCTAGTTGATAGTCTCAGTAAAGCTTCAGACAGGCAAATTTAAGTGGTGAGATGTTTTGTGTTGGTTTTTTTTTTTTTTTTAAATTTGTTGGTTGCAATTATAAGCACTCAACATCAGTCAGTCTTGGCCAGCCTTTTGTGAAGCTATAAGCAATGGAATTCGTAAATGATGAATGACAGAATATGGCTAAGTGTTGGGGATTTTGGTTTTTAGTTGTTGGTATACCTTTAAGCTGCATTGTGTGTAATTCAGCAAATTGTCCATTTCTATAATAAGTCAAATTCATTACAGATGGGTTGGTTAAAATTGATGGATCCTTATTGCATCTATTTGTTTAACAAACATTAAAATATTGATGTGGTTCTAAGGAATGAAGATTCTTATTAGAAGATAAGACTTGAATATAAGGTCTATGTTTTAGGTGTTGCCATAGTTTTTCAGAAATGTTTTTATTTATCTAAAAGCTGTTTATAATATAATGGAGTTCATGAATTAGGCTAAAAAGAGGAGGAAGGTTCTTTACTGCAAAAATCAATTCCCTTCTATAACTGGTATCCAGTTGTCAATGCTGTTTGCACCTTTCACAGAGCAAAGAAGACATTTTCAAGACAGCGATGATGGTTCACAAAGGGAGTAAACTAGACCTGTTAACTTACAGCAAGAATTGCAAGTCAGCATGTCTATAAAATGTAATTGATTTTCATGTAAAATCAGTGTTTTACCACTTCTGCCAGTGATGCCTCTAAAACCTGTCAATTTAAATTATTAAAGCTGTGCCTTTGGTACTGTGGATGTTGACTCTAATCTTGTAATAAAGCTGCATCACATATGGAAGTACCAAGTCACTGACATATGCACAAGAGTGTACTTGTCTGGCTCTCTGTAAGGGCAGAGCTGGCTAAGTAGTCTTATTTCTGTAATTCTAGTCTTCCTCCTTAACCTGTATCTGCTGATTTTTGGTTACTCTCCGTTTCTGAGTTCATTTGTCAGGGCAGCTATCATTTTGGGGCAGCAGACATATATTTGATCATTCTAGAGAAGCAGTTCATCGAAGCCTACTTAGATTTCATTAACATTTAACCTTTACACCAAAACATTTTTATTTTTTTTTCCCCAGGTGCTGAAAATAGTTCTGATACAGAAAGCGCGCCGTCTCCAACGCCAGCAGAACCCGCTAAACCAAGCGAAGAAACTCCATCTGAGAGTGCTGCTTCGAAAGTAACCACTGAGGCAACAGCAGAACAAGAATCTACCATTAAACCTGCAACCAGCACATCTCCCTCCTTAACAACCCAGAGTGTATCAACAGCTGAAACTCAGAACCCTGAGCCACAGGTTAAGGAAGAAATAAGTAATGAGGCAGAAGAGCCTATGGAGGTTGACAGTAGAAGCCATCCAGTTGAAGCTAAGCCTGTGATTACTCTTCCAGTGCATACCAAAGTAGAACCTGTAGAGACTGAATTGAGGCTACCGGAGAATATTCAAGTGAAAATAGAGAGTGATACCAAAGAGAGAGAGATGGAGAAACCCAAGGAAAAGTCAGAACCGGAGGAAATGGACTATAGTCTGTCACAGCAAGTTAATACAGCAAGACAAGAATCCCATTCGGATAATGATTCGAGTGCCACCTGTAGTGCTGACGAGGAAGTTGATGGAGAACCTGACAGACAAGGGTGAGTTTAATTGTTTTACATTCAAATATTGCTGTCTTTAAGAAGTTGTTTAAAAAGTAGTTTTACGGTGATTCAAAACCTGACATCACTAGTGACTTTTTTGTTACGAGTTTCTGCTAGGGAAAGGATTTCTAAGAAGTCTTTGCTGGAAGTGTGACAGAGGGAGATGTTGATTTAAAATTTTGTTGAAGACCAAAAGAAGGGTCTTGTAAGGCAGGGTAAGGCAAAATTCCATGGCGGTAGACTGACTAGGTAGGTAGCAAACTAGCACAACTCCCTGGAAAGTGAGAGAATGAGGGAAATCAAGCCATTTGGGATCTGTTTAGAGAATGGGAATTATGTTAATTATCTGGAAAGGACAGCAGCTTGCTGAAACAATGAAACTTTGCCAAAGCAAGAAAAGAGATTCAAGATGCTCCTGGCATGACTTTCCGTGAGAAGTAGCTCTGTGGTATGTCTGGTGGGGAGGGGAAGATCTTGCTGCTGCAGGATTTTCTGATACGCTGCTACATAAAAATCGGTGACCAACTGAAAACATTAAGTGATGTGGGGAATTTTGTAAATGCCCCCATCTATCCAATAAGAAACTCAACAGTGATTGTATGACTGGATCTGTACTGAAATTCTTTGTTTTGGTTTGATTAGTTTGTTGCTTTTCCACAATACTTACCAACAAATCTACACATTCAGAAGTAGGTTTGGAATATCTTTTTATAGTGTGATTGGTTAGTGTGGGGTAATACATGGGCTCTCCATTCCCTTTAGTGAAAAACTGTTTGAATGTAGAGCCAAAAAATTGGAGATGGAGTTGTTTTAGTTAGTTCTTGCTCTCACAAGCTCAGTTTAGTAGAATGCCTCCAAACCTCCTTGAGTTTGATAGGAAAAACAGCCTGAATATATCTTTTAGTAGGAGATGAAACTTGCTTTAAAAAAAAAAATAATAATCTAGAGGCATAAAATATTAATATTTTAGTTACCTTTTAATATTTCATGTTTATTTGCTTGTATAACCTCTAGAGTCCTGTACCCAGTTACTGTCACTGAACCATGTTATATCAATGAGTAGAACTGAATCTCTTGAAGGTTATTAATAATAGAGCAGTGGAAGTATTTTTCAATCTTACCAGTCAGTGTCCATAAATTAATGGGCCAGTGTCCTGAGAAATGGATGACCTCTTTCTCCAAGTGTACGATGTCTTCGTGCAGGCTTCCTAGTTCCTGGGAACGTGGCCCTAAACGCTCTGGATAACCTGCCGAAGTGTATACAGCTTTAAATTGGAACCGTCTATCTTTTGTGGGATGGCTGTCGCTGCTGGTGGTATTTGAAGTCCTTTTAGTGTTCTGTTGGTGCGGTTCCTACGTAACCATAGAGTAGCATCAGAGCCAATGCCCCCCCCCTCTCAGTGGTCTTAATATACACGCAATACCAAGGATAGATGTTAAATGTCAAAAGTATCCAGTATCATTGTTCTGCATGTGGTCTTTGGAAGAGTGCAGTTGATGGTGTTTCTGCACTCTTGCCTCTTCAGACATCACCTTTCCACTTCACAAATGTATTAGCCCTCCATGTGAAAGCAGTCTATTGTATGCTACTGTTTTTATTTCCTGTGGACTAAATAAATCTAGTGCTTCCTATCTATTTTTTTTACCAAAGCATTCTTTATCAAGAAGATTGCATTCTTGCAGTACTGTGGATATAGAAACTGCATACATGGATTTCTGGTATTGGAGATTCTGAACACTTTTTTTTTTTGGTATTTCTGTGTATTATAAAAATACAGCAGCGTCTGTTGCCCATTCGACCAGATGTGATGTGGGACAAAACATGATTCTGATTTTTCAGCTATTTGTCCAGTGTGTTAAATATATTGGTTTTTTGAAGTTGAGGGGCATACCGTTGCCTGTAAATTTTTAGACATTTAACTTGGTCTTTTTGATGATATTTTTCCCTTCCTTCTATCTCTTTTCCAGTATCTTCAGCAGGGAGTCAAAGCCCTCACTGTTAAATCCCACTGGGTCAATACTGGTATCGTCCACGATAAAGCAAGGGCAGATGGACCTGCAACAGCTTCACCACCGAGCTGCTGTCATACCACCTATGGTATGGGGTGTTTTATGTGATATTTGCAGGAGTATCTGTCGGTCCCTAAAACTAGTTGCGACACTAAAGCCGCAAAGTAACGTGAAACAAATGAAGAAATAAATAATGTGCTTTGTTACCATACTTTTGAGGGGGAAAGTAAGTTAACACAAATACACAAGTAGTAGCTTAAAAACAGGTGTGGACTGTTTGAAACACTCGTAGATAGACTACAGCTGCTGCAGGGGAGGCATTGGGCAAGAAAGTTACTTTAGTAAGTATCTGTGTTAATGCACCTGATGTTAACGCCTTCCCATCCTTGTAGGTTTCTTGCAGTCCCTGTACGGTTCCCGTTGGAACACCAGTGAGTGGTTATGCGCTGTATCAACGGCACATTAAAGCAATGCATGAGTCAGCGCTGCTGGAGGAGCAACGCCAGAGGCAAGAGCAGCTGGATATGGAGTATCGAAGTGCTGTAAGCCCTTGTGGCACTTCCAAGAGCCCTAATGTTGAGTGGGAAGGTAGGTATTTTCACATCTGTTGTGGAAATAACCCCACGTTTTATATCCGTGTGTTACACTGCTGCTTCGTTTAAGAATGAGAGTTTAGTGTACAGATAGTTACTGCTTTCTGATGGCACCTGATTGAAGGAACCTGTCTACTGTAGAGATCCTGCAGCAGTGACCGTGTTGGAGAACTACCTTGTAGCCCCTTTGCATAAGGCAGAAAAACTGGCTCCATTTGGGTGAAATCCAAAAATGAGATGTTCCTACAGAGAGAGATTCAGAAGGGTTAGCTGTGCAGGTGAGAAGACCCAGAGAACTGTGTGTACTGGGGGAGCCCCTTTCAGAAGCTTAAGGTGAAGAAGGGAGAGAGTTGCTAAAGGAGCATGAGCACAACTAAAAGGAATGTTTTACTGCCCTGGAGTGCATATGTGGACATTGGGCCCTGGAGTAGGGCACAGAAGTTTGGTAGAGCTGTTGTACTCTAGCCTGTCTGCAGAAGGGCTGTGTGCAAGGCTTGCTCTCTTGGGAACATGATGGTTGGTTGCTGTTGTGTATAGAGGATGCTTGGGAGTCAGGGTTTGAACTGAACTCTGTGATCTGGACCTGTGTTTCCTGAATGTGGCTCTGAGTGTGACCTTCAGTATGGTACAAGGCTAAAGCTGCTCTCAGAACCTGACGGGGTGGCTAAATAAGGACATATCTGTTACCGTTGCTGGCTACAGGAAAGTGATTCAGGCGGACAGTGTATATGTTACATCATCCGGATTGCTGCGTAAGAGCCAAAGGATGTATTTATTAGCTTTCAGTTCTGTATTGTGTAACTTTTACCTCAACTTTCTTTACTAGAAAAGGAATAGGTCCACAAACTGTACGTTTTAAAAGGGAAATAAACCAAGTGAGATTAATGTGCTGAATGTTACAATATCAGAGATATCATCACAGTTGCATAAATCTGCATTTTTAGATTTTATATTCTCGTGTGTTGTTTCTGTTGCCAGCACAGTATTAGCAACATAAACTATCATGTTCTTTGAAACTCGAGTATTCTGTATTTAGTATGCATAACAGTTTTAAAATACGTTATGAAATACTTCACCTTAATTACTTTTACCCAAAGTAAAATGAAAGAAATATAACCATTTTTTTGCCTGTTAAAACAGTGAGAAGGGAGCTTGTAGGTTTGTGGAGGGGTGGGTAAGATTGTGGTTTTTGGAAGTCGCTTCTTTAGGTGGAAAGTCTGGGGCTGATTAAAAGTACCATTTAACTGAAATACTACCTGAGTAACTCTTGGCATTGGCAGTACGGTATTATGAAGTGTGGGAAAGTTCTGGGTGAAGTCTCTGCCAGCAAAAATCAAGGTGGTTGTTCAGGCAGATGGAGAGGGAGGGATAACGTAGTTAGTGTAAGTGGGTTCTACAAGCCTGGACATCTTAATCTGAAAACTAGAAGGGGCTGAGATGTCATCAGAGCGTTACAGCAGCTATTTCCTAAGATACACGGTCCATATGAAGCTTGTCCACCAACTGCTGTGCGCAGCAGAGCGCCCACAGACTGTTTGAAAACCTTGTGTTGCATACATCAGAACACTGCCTGCGTTGTGGGGTATTTTGTCAAACTAAAGGGCCTGTTGTTGAATTGGCTTATTACAACTTACACAGTACTTTACTATGAAATAAAATAGTAAATATCCTTTAGAAAGCTATTATGTGATGATTAATGCCATCTTTCTTTGACTGTGGAGGTTAAAGATACAGCTTTACAACTGCATTAAACTTGTTCTGGCTCATAACTTTGAATACTTAAGTTGTCCATTGCCAAAGAAAAGGAATTTCTGAAGTTCTGGTACTGGATTTTTAATTTCCTAAATTTGATAAAAATGTATTTTCCCTTCAAACACCATTGATGGGCAATATTAGTATTTGAAATTAGATTCGTAATTTCTCTGGGCAAGCAAGGAAGGAAGGAAGGCTTTTTGTCTGGTGGGATTGGCATGTAAGTCTGACTGAACTTGCATGTAAACCTGGCTGATGCACAAGATTTTTTTTCTTTAAGTGAAACCTTTTTCAGTAGCAGAGCTTTCACTTAAATGACCTAAAGGAACCAGATACTGTTTTTCACATATAGGAAGTATGAAACAGTTTTTTCAAAGCTTGGGATATAAAAGTACAGACACAGGAACATACTACATTAAGCTGTACCTTCATACTACTTTTTAATTGAAACATTTGTACCTGATGATTGCATCCGACGTGGGAGTAGGCCCTTTGCTAAAATTGTGCTGTAAACTGGACCTTTTGACTCTTAATTTCTAATCCAGCGTTCTTTTCTTTCTGATAACTTTAACCTTCACAGGAAAACCGGTGGCCTATATGCCCTATGCTGAGGTCAAGCGAGCAATAGAACAGGAAGCACAAGTGCAAAACACGGCAGCAAGGTCAGCATCCCCGTACAGACTGTCTCCAAGAGAAGTCAACAAAGCCTCTCCCCAGCCCGATATGAATGCAGCTCGCTACAGCGTCCCACCAGGTAAATGTTTTGTTAGGTGTCACAGCGATATGTACTCTTCCTTCAGAAGCTGGACTTCTGTGACTTGATGTAGTATCAAATTCTTCTCTAAACACTTGGTGACTTAAAAGAAGATGATTGTTTTCTGTGTGTGCATGTGAATACGTGCTTGGTATTTTTCTAGCTCCAGTGAGGTTATATTTTTGTTCTTTATTGCTGTATCAGCTGTGTAATATTTGTTTTATTAAGCAAAATGGATGATCTGAAAAGTGTTAGAACAGCATAGGGACAAAGTCATCAGGAGATTTTCTGTTTAATACAAGTACTGTCATATTCATGGGTGGCCTTTCTTATGAAGAGGGGAGTTGAGGAAACAAGGAATCTCCTGCTATCCTTGGCATTAGTTTCTGACTGTAATTGCTTAATATGAGAGTCTGAATGTTTAATAAAACGGTGAAATAACTGACAAATCTTCTGAAACTTGGATTATTGTTTTCCTGTTTAGAGTATAATGTCATGAAAAGAAAAGACAAAATCAGGGAAGCTTAGGTTATACTTGACTTGGTTGCATCCCGTTTAAAGAATAAGAACTTTCTTTAAAAGCAGGAAAACAACAAAAAACTTGAATGTACCCTGGGCTGTTATTTTTAAAAGCTTAGTTTTCAGTCTGCAATTCTACAGTGCAGCTCTTGTTATTTCTTCTTGAACTTTGATGCAAGGTTAGGTAGTCTCAATTCAGTTTCTATGCACGACATACAGTTGGATATAGTGAATTTCAGAGTTGTAGATACAGCTAGGTAGCTTTTGAGTATTGTGAGGCAATTCCCATCCAGAATTGTCAGATGAACTGTGCTATTTCTGATGTTCTTGTCTCTCTAACAACTAGTAGAGCTGCAACAGACTGTAATATTTAATGTACAACTTTCCCCCCAAGTTCTCCAGCCAGCACCTCACCAGGTAATAACCAATATACCTGAAGGAGTCCGCCTTCCAACAACCAGACCTACCAGACCACCACCACCACTCATTCCATCCTCCAAAACAAGTGTACCATCAGAAAAACCTTCCTTCATCATGGGAGGCTCAATCTCACAAGTAAGAGAATATTTGTTTGAAAATCTGTCCTTACAGCAATTTTTTGCCCTTTCATCAACCTTCAACATCTTGTATTCGGTTATGTGTTTACAGCATTAACACTTAAGACCTATATATACCACCTCTAAAAGTCCAGGAATTACAGGTGCCTTAGAAAATAGAACATGTTGCAGTTATTGTCATCTAGTGGCATGGTGGAGGATGTCCAGTTCAGGTGAACTGCATCTCCAAACAGTGACGCTACACTCCTGGTGTTCTGCACTTTGGTGCTTTGCAGTGGTGGACTGTAGCATTTTAAGATAGGATCGTAGTAGTATTAGCGTTCTCCTTCAAACATAGATGTGAATCTTCCAGAAACAAGAATTAACATATAATATATTTGCTGTTTCAGGGAACACCTGGCACTTACTTAACATCCCATAGTCAAGCTTCCTACACCCAAGAAACTGCAAAGCCATCAGTGGGTTCTATATCTCTTGGGCTGCCAAGGCAGCAGGAGTCAGCCAAGTCTGGTAAGAACAGAAAAGCTGACATGTTTTATATAGACTATTTAATGACTCTTAATTAAAGAGGGGAAAAAAAGAAAAAACCAAACTTTTTTCTTTTTCTTCTTCTGAATAGCTTCCCTGCCCTATATCAAACAAGAAGAATTCTCTCCCAGAAGCCAGAATTCCCAGCCTGAGGGACTTCTGGTCAGGGCACAACATGAAAGTGTGGTTCGAGGTAAAGAAAGTCATACAGATCCAGAAACTTTGTCAGAGCCTGAGAAAACTGAGAGAATTAACTTCTAGAGCTCAGACTGCTGAAGTGTTATTTTTAAGTATTTTATTAATCTGCTCCCTATTTTCTGAGGCGTGTGTATTTGTAGCTAGCTCCTCCTGTCTGCATGTCATTTAAAAACACTTGTTTCAAGGCATGCCAACTTCAAAATAAGCATATGCAGAGCCATACATGTGAAATATCCAAATACATCAAAACAAAATAAAGTAGGTACCATGGATTAATGCTTTACAGGACTTTTAGTCTGTAAAGGACTATGTTAAAAGAGGAAATAGTCTAACTGCCTCAAATGCATGCTGTTAAACTGAATTTTTTCCTGTATTTCAGAACTAAAAGCTCTCACTAGAGTCTTTAATTATTTCAAATAGAGTAGCTACTTTTTTTTAATTCTCCTCTTTATCAGGATATCTTATTATTTCAAATCAGGTACCACAACGATACAGGAGGGAAGTATAACTCGAGGAACTCCAACCAATAAAGTTTCTGTTGAGACCATTCCTTCTTTGAGAGGCTCCATAACTCAGGTATTTTTCCCCTTACTGAGAAGGCTGTAGCAAAACAGCATATTTAAACTATCCCCATGTATGTAGTTGCATGTCTGAAAAAGTGAATTAGTATCACAGAGTAAGAACTGACTTGAAAAGAAATTTTAGTACAATCAGATGGTCAAATCCCACTATTGCTGAAGTCAGCATTACCATGATTTCATCTTCGCATATGTGAGTCTTTAAACTTTTTGAATAAAACCACCAGAGCCTTTGGTATACCTAACTCTGAAGGCTTATTAGCAACTTCCATGAAAACGGCATCACACCTGAGTTCAAAGACTAAAGTCAACTACAATCAGTCTCGTGCAGATACTATTTAAAGCCAAAAAGGTAAATTAAGCCTTTTTGTCTCATTGGTTTTTAAATGCTACTGTTTTGGTTGATTTGGGATCTCTAGTTACAGAGAGCAATAGTAACAATTCTCCTCTGAGAAGGATGGGGTTTGTTACTTTAGATAGAAATAAAACCTAAGGGCCCTATTAAGTATGTAGTATATGTTATCTTCCCCCAAAATGGTATTATAGGGTAACTGTTCTAGGTCATTAAATACTTTTGTAATATTGTACTCACTATTCTTCTTTCTGTATTTTTTAACAAGGTAGCAAATTGCCTATAAGTAATGTTACTAATATTTAGGTTAAATGTCTAATAATAGAGGCAGAAGTTTAAGCCATGCCGCTTGATAAGTAATTGGTTTTCTAGATCTAAAAAGTGTTGTGGGTTTGGGTTTTTTTGCACTTCACTGCTCCCTATTCTCTTATATAAATACACATATTCTCAATTATAGTTGATTTGATTTAAATGCAGGGTACACCAGCTCTGTCCCAGTCTGGCATAGCAGCTGATGCGTTATTGAAGGGAACTATCACCCGGCTCGCTACGGAAGACAGCAGCCCAGAAAAGTGCCGAGAGGAGGCTTCAGCCAAAGGCCATGTTATTTATGAAGGCAAAAGTGGGCATATTTTATCTTATGATAGTGAGTATTTATATATTCTACCTGATCAAAGTCAAGGCTGCAGGAGGTTCTGCATTTATAATCCATAGCTGAAGTATATCTGCTTCTGAGTGATAGGTATGAACCTCAGTCACTGGGGTGCCAGCCGGGAGAGATACTGACCTGCATGACTTTTTGAGGATGTGAGAATTAAAGTGATCCAGAAATTGTGCCTGTGTTCGGAAGTCTCCTATACTATGTATTTAAAATACAGTTAAACTATTTAATTTATGTGCCATTTACTTCCAATTTGTTGTGGAATATTTTTATTTTGAAAGGTTAAACAACCAAGTTTAAAACTATCTGTATTTAAATCAAAAGAAATATATCATTTAATTTCGACCTTCAGTTGAAAAACTTATTAACTGTTTGAACAAAAATAATTTTTAACAACCCATAAAATACCTTTTTAAGGTTGAGATTTAATGTTACGATATTATATTGAAGTTGTGTTTTTAAAGTATTAATGACCTGTGATCCCATTAAATGTGATGCTCATGTGTCTGTCTTTTACTGACCACATTTGGTAACCCTGCTCTTGTAAATTTTGCCAGCTATTAAAAATGTTCGTGAAGGAACAAGGAGTCCAAGAACTGCTCATGAAATTGGTTTAAAGAGAAGCTATGATACAATGGAAGGAAATATAAAGCAAGGAATGTCAATGCGGGAGTCTCCAGTATCTGCACCACTGGAAGGTAAAAACAGCTGCTTCCAAGGTGTTTCGTGTTTTATCCAAACCTGTTGCATTGTAAGATTATTTAGAGTTACTTTATGGAGCAGACTAAAAGAGAAATGAGATTTAAATCTTATGCTGCTAACCGGATCCATGTAATAACGACTACAGTTAAAGCATGTGAGAATATGACTGGAGTAGACAGTAGTTTTCCTGTTTCTTTCACTGGTGTGTTGCTGTAACTACAGGCAGTTCAGCCGGCACTTACTCCTCTCAGTAGATCTGACAGACGTAACTGACTCTTCACAGTCCCAGCGGGTTGTCACAGAGCCGAAACAACACCGAGACATCCTAGCGTGGCCTCCGTGGACACACCCATTAGTTAAATACTGGTCTCAGCCATGGCATAGCAACGTGGTGACACATTGGCGTGACCTTTTGCATTCCTGCAAGAAACCTCTTCCATTAGGCCAAGCAGAAGACTTGCACAGCTGCTGTATCCTGCCTCAGGGCATCCCTGGTGTTATTTGGATTTAATAAACTGTAATCAAACTAAGACTGCAAAGGTCAAGTCAGGCCACTACGTAACTCTTCTAATCGTTTTTTAAAAATACAAATGCAAGAAAATGTTTTGTGCCTGAACTATGGAGCCTTACTCCTCAAGTACATTTTGTCCCATCTTTGGGTAGCCCTTAAAGGCTATTTTGTGTACGGTTTAATGTGATGAAACAATATGAATAAGAGATTTCTAGACTCTATATAGAAATTCAGTGTTGCCTTTAAGTTGCTGATGCATTTGGCTCTTCTTTGTGCTCTTTTAGCATATGAAAAGCTGCTGTGATACTTTTATGCTGCATTTCGTCACTCTGATACATTTTCTGTCCTCAAACTGGAAAATCATGAGTTCTTCGGGGGTTTGATTTAGATTCCTACTGTAGGAACAGTAAATTCACTTCTTCCCAGATGATTCAATATGAACTTTGATTAATTTGGAGGATACCAAAGTGTATTTTGGGGTGGTTTTTACTTTTTGTTCCACTTCCCGTTATGAACACCTTCCTTTACTAGGTAAGGAAACTGAAGTGGAGTGTAAAGAAGCAGTGACTGCTTTTGGGACAAGAGTTAAGCTTAATTATAAAAAAACCCCTTGTGTTTTCTAAATATGTTAAAACTTGCAGCAATATAATAGCATGAATACTTGAACTGAAAGACTTTTTTTTTTTTAGGGCAGGATGGTGTTTATAGCATGTTGGTACAGTGCCTAGTAGCATACTGAGCCTAGGCCCTCTGGGCCCTGCTGTGATACAGATACTATCTGTAATGTATGTAAGGAGGAGGAGGGTTTTTATTGTTTTGGGGTTGGTTTTTTTTGGACACTTGTTTAATCCTCTAAATTACATTCATTTTAATTTTAGGTTTAATATGCCGTGCACTGCCTAGGGGTAGCCCACATGCAGAACTGAAAGAGAGGACAGTGTTGTCTGGCTCTATAATGCAAGGTAAAGTATTGCAAGTTTAGAAGGCAAGCATTAATTACATCCTCAAAAATCTGGATTTCTGAACCTTAAAACTGTTATTGACGATTGTAGCTGTGTTAAAGGTGGAGCTTCTTTTATTAAACCTGTTTTCAGAGCATAAATCAGCAGCTTTCTGTATACAATACTAGCGTGTAAACATAACATTTTATTTCTTTTTGGAAAATAGACTTTTTTAATATAAGTACTTGGTAATCAGCACTTTTGTTTTTTCATGAACTCTAACAGTTCCCCAGACCTCTGAAGATGTATGCTCTTTCCTTTATTTCAGCATCTGAAATAACTTGGGATGCTTTCAGTAATATATTGAATATTTGTTCAGTATTATTTTTGTGGCAATTTTTTAGTATTGAGAATGTATTATCATAGCCTATAGCAAACCAAAGTTCCCGTATTATGACATTTTTATGTTTATGAAAAAAGAGACTTAGTAATTATTAATACCAGGCATGTGACTTTCTTCCTATAAAAGGCACACCAAGAGCAACAGCTGAAAGTTTTGAAGAAGGCTTGAAATACCCTAAACAGATTAAGAGAGAGTCACCTCCCATAAGGACATTTGAAGGAGCCATTACTAAGGGGAAACCATATGACGGAGTCACTACTATAAAAGAGATGGGTCGTTCCATCCATGAGATCCCAAGACAGGACCTATTAAGCCAGGAGAGTCGCAAGACTCCTGAAATGGTGCAGACGACCAGGCCAATCATAGAAGGCTCCATATCTCAGGTAAATACAAAAAGCACTACTAGGCTCCTACAGTTGCTTACAGACTCAGTAGTGAGTAGATTCATGATATTTGAATAATGACAAATGAGGGTGGGGTGTTTTAAGAAAGCTACCGACTTACAAAGCTTAAAAATATTTTCTGTGTATTAGAAAAATCCTGACACATCACCTGTAGGGAACGCACTTGCAAGCAAATGTGAGAGAACTGAGAAGTAACAATCACTAAGGTCCGGTTGTATTCTGTGCTAATGTGGCAGAAGCAATGAACTACGATGTCAGCAATATGAGGTGTTTTAGCACGAGTGAGACGTTGGCAGGATAACCTTACCTGATCTTTTTCTCCTTTTCAGGGCACACCCATAAAATATGAAAGCAACTCTGGCCAGTCTGCCATCAAACACAATGTAAAATCTTTAATCACTGGACCAAGCAAGTTACCCCGTGGAATGCCTCAGCTGGAAATGGTGCCAGAAAACGTGAAGGTGGTGGAGCGAGGAAAATATGAAGATGTGAAGACCGGGGATGCAGTACGTTCCCGTCACACGTCAGTAGTCAGCTCTGGTCCCTCTGTTCTCAGGTCAACTCTTCATGAAACTCCCAAATCACAGCTGAGCCCTGGGATTTATGATGATACCAATGCTCGGAGGACACCTGTGAACTATCAGAGTCCAATGTCCAGGAGTTCACCTATGATGAATAGAGTTAGTGAGGGTACGTTATTCCTGTCCAGAGTAAGATAAGTTTTAATTAAATTTTAAACTTACTTTTAAACAGGTTTCTGAAATCCATTGTACTTTTTTTTATTCTAATGGCTTCTCTCAATGTGGAGGGTAGCTAGAAGAAATTTTAGAAGGCTGTAAGCTGTTAACTGAAATAAGAGAATGAAAATCTGCCATATTGTAACGTGGAGGTGGGAAGGCAATTCAGTCTTAATTTACATTTGATTATGGATCACAATGAAAATGTTACCTACACGGGTAATGTTTCAAGAGCAGAAGCTATTCCTGAATTATAGAGGTATCTAGATGAGGAAGATAATATGATGAAGTGTAAACAATCTTAGTTTTAAGTTTTAGATTTTTCACCAGAAATAGTGTGTGATGCAAAATATTCTGTGATTTATTGCATCAGATTGCAAGGTCCTCGATAACGTTCGTTGGGAGGCAGTGTATATGTACAGCTGAATTTTCTATTGGAAAATACGCATTTTATTAATTTGAGGTTTTCATTGTTTTTAGCTGGAATAGCTTCTGGGAAGCCAGCAAATCATGAAAGGAAAAACACGCTTACTCCGACACAGAGGGAGAGCGTGCCAGCAAAATCTCCAGTCCCAGGCGTTGATCCTGTAGTGACTCACAGTCCTTTTGACCCTCACCACAGAGGGGCAACTCCTGAAGTCTATAGAAGTCACCTCCCTCCTCATTTAGATCCTGCTATGCCATTTCACAGGGCTCTGGATCCGGGTAAATATATTTGTGTTGGTTTTTCTTTAGTTTTAGAAATATTGTATGCTTTGATGCACAGAAAAGGTACCTTTAAAAGGCAATTATCAATGGCCAGATATAATTTATAAGAGGTTATATATATACATACTCGCTGTTGTGGTTTGATTTCAGTTTGGTGCAGGATTTAATATATGAACAGGAAACTTACTTAAAGATTATGGTATAATACTGTAACTTTCTTTTAGAAGCTTCCAGGTTTTGTTAAAAAAAGTTTTGTTAGAAAGTTCAGATGATATTTTTAGATAAGTATTTCGGAAACATATTAAAAGCTTTCAGGAAAGCTATGCAAAGAAGGATGTGGAAGATGCTGTAGAATTAATCAGGACCCCCTCTGTTCAGAACTGTGATTCATTCTCACTGAGGGATTATTACATTATTCCTGGTGGCATTAAATAGTAGACTTGCTTTGAACCTATCCATCAGTCCACTTTTGTGAGGTATCTTAACCTCCTTTAGGTATTTCAGCCCTTTACGTCTTCAGAATTTCAGGATTTATATTTTTAATCGAGTCTCTTCTCTAATGCACGTCTCCAATCTGGATTATTTCGCTTTTTCTGTCTGCATACAGTGCATAAATTCAATAAAACATCAGTATTAAAATGTTATTTTAATTCTTTTGGCACTGGCTAGAGAGAATTCTCATTGAAGCTATATAAACATCTGATACTTCCATTCGGAATCACCCACGCTGCTTCCTAAACCTTTTTTTTCCTTCCTTCACCCTCAGCTGCTGCTGCTTACCTGTTCCAAAGGCAGCTCTCACCCACCCCAGGCTACCCAAGTCAGTATCAGCTTTACGCAATGGAGAATACACGACAGACAATCCTGAACGACTACATTACCTCACAGCAGATGCAAGTCAACCTACGTCCTGATGTAACGAGAGGGTTATCTCCTAGAGAGCAAACTTTAGCTCTCCCGTATGCAGGAGCAAGAGGTATGCCTGTGTGTTTTCTGACATTCTTTAAAGTGTGTTTTGGAGATGCAGTGTGTTGCAGGTTGCTTAGTTTGTTTTGTTGCTGCTTATAAATATATTTGTTTGTGTGGATGCATGCATGCATACAAGTGCATATATATAGGTGTGTTTGCAAATGAGTTGTCACTTGTCTAACGGGCTTTTGTGGATATAAAGGAAAGCTACATATGTAATCAATATTGTTAAAGGGAGGGCTGTAAGACATTAGTGTTCAAGAAGCTGGACTGTTTTGTGCTAGTTTAGATTGATATTCAGTAGCATATTTAACTTACCTTCAAACTTCAGAAAAGAGAATTATATCAAAGTGAGGGCTCCTTCAAAATGAAAATAAAAGCACCAGCTAATGGGATAATGTTTGTGAAGCACGTGGTGATTGTTTAAAGATACTACGTTAGAGAGTTAGCAAATGTGCGTGACCTGTTGCAGGGTGGGGAAATGCCTGAATCAATCTGGACGTTTAACAGCAGCAGGAAGGAGCTATTAAAAGCAAAAAGAGATCTTGCAAAAAGGTAGATCCTCAAAGAAAATGGAAACCTTGCAAGTTAAGTGTAAGACCATAAAGGTCAAAAAGTGAGGAACAATTTATAAAGCCAAATGAACTAGTAACTTCTTCAGATATACTGGAAGCAAGAAACATGGCAAAGAAACTGTAGGAACTGATAAAAACTCAGAAGTAATGCTGTAGAAGATAAGGCCATTGCAAAAAAGCAAAGCAATTTCTTTGCAACTCTATTCAGGGTGGAGAGATCTATATTTCTATGATGGAGATTTTGTTCATGGGACATGAGTTTGAAGAACTCTTTCACATTGAAATGTTGAGGAAAGTCTTAGAACAAGCTAATAAAATGAATAGTTTGGATCCTTGGGGTGATGCGGCTTTCTGCCAGGAGTTACAAACCTAACAGGAAATTGTCAGTCTGCCAACTTGGTTACTGGATACGATAATCTGTCTATTGCTTAAATCCGTTTTGATAGTTATTGGTAGAATGGAAAATAGCAAGTGTGAGGGAATTAGGCTGGTAGGACTAATTATCTTGGGGATAAGATATAAGGTCTTGTAGTGTTTTAATTGGTTGGAAAAGAAAGGATAAGTGGGTTTTGTAGCAGAGGAGGTTCCAGTGGGACCTGTGCATTTCATGAGTGTAATGTTTCATGAATATAAAAGATCTGGGAAAAGGAGTGTATGATGTCAATTAGAGTGAAGTGTATTTTTCCAAAGGGCAATTAAAGGGAGTGCTAGAAATGCAGATTCTGACTTAGGAACATACTAAATTGCTGATTGCCAGATCTAAGAGAGTATAAACAGCTGGAATATTGTTTTGCATTTCCCTTATTCTTACATTTTGTTTCCACTAAACATGCACTGCTGACCATTGTCCACAAACGGAATAAATACTGTCTGGACAACTGGTCTGTCCTTGAATGGCCATTCTTACGTGTGTCATCTCCTAACAGGAATTATTGACCTGAACAATATGGCTCCCACTATCTTAGTGCCTCATCCTGGAGGAACAAGCACACCACCCATGGAGAGAATCACGTATATCCCTGGTACCCAGCTTACATTCCCTCCCAGGCCTTACAATCCTGCTTCTCTGTCACCAGGTAAGAGCTCTTGTCATTTGGTGATTCTCTAATACTCTGACATGCTGAGATAATTGACCATCTTTATTTAGGTTTCATTAATGTTGTGTTTCAATATTTTCTCAGGCGATGCTTTTTGCAAGCACTTCTCACTTGGATAGTAAAGGTTTTCTTAATGATATCCTTTATAGTTACATTAGCAGCTGAAGGAGTGCTGACAAACTCAGTTTGCCTCATTCTGTCAGTTCTTTATTTATAGTCGTGTGATTGTGACTTCTCCAACTTCATTGAATGTGTTGAAGGGTGGAATTTGGGTCTATAAGCTGTCTAGTTTCTAACTATAGAAACCACTTTAAACAGCTGTTGAGCCTTCCAATGTCACTGTATGTTAAGCTTTTGTCTTCCTAGGTAAGTGGATAGTCTTGAGTGGAATGAAAATGTATTTGGGAAGTTTTGCTGTAAGTGGATGGCAGAATATACTGGCAAGTGTTTACAACAAATTATGCTGTACTTGAGTATCTCTTTTTGCTACTTCATTTTATCTTGTGGACCTTCCAGGACACCCTACGCACCTGGCAGCTTCTGCAGCTGCAAATGCTGAAAGGGAACGGGAAAGGGAGAGGGAGAAGGAACGGGAGAGGGAGAGGGAACGTGAGCGAGAGCGGGAAAGAGAACGAGAACGAGAGAGGGAGAGAATAGCTTCAGTCCCTACTGAACTTTATCTTCGACCAGGTGAGTGCACATGCTGCATTTGGATCAGTTGTCTTGTGGGCTGGAACTGCTCGTTTTCTATAGCCACTGTTAGCGACGTGCAGCTTATTAGAAACACGTTACACACTTTGGTTTTCGTCTGCACTCAGGGCAGGTTCCTATCACCTAGCAGTTCTGGTCATAATTGCAGCTTCCCCAAGGACCAGGCTGCTTGGTCTTTCTCTTACAGCAGGGTAGTACCTAGGGAATGGTGCGAATCCCAGTTATCGCTAGCACAACTTGCATGTCATTTAGAGCATTGTAGGCAGAATGCTGCCACTTCAACCTGTAATACGTGCGGTCACACCTAGAGTGGTGGAGACAGCTGGGAAAGGATGTGGAGGAGACAGCATCGATACGTAGTTTTGCATCGTTATAAGAGTGATCTATATATATTTTGTTTGTTCCTCTCTGCTCTATGTTCTGCAGGTACAGAGCAGCCTGGCAGACCTGGCAGCCATGGATATGTTCGGTCCCCGTCACCTTCAGTCAGAAGCCAGGAAAACATACTGCAGCAAAGGCCTAGTATTTTTCAAGGAACCAATGGGACAAGTGTAATCACACCTTTGGATCCTGCTGCTCAGCTACGTATCATGTATGTTTTATAAGTTACTGTTGCAGAGATATCTGTTCTAATATTTGAGCTTACTAAAAGGTGCATTTAGCCTGGGGAAACTACTACAAGATGAGGATATACCATTATCTGGTTGCTCTTGGATTTATTGGAAATGATCCAATGCATTTTCACCAGTCCAGTTTGGATGGAAATTAGTGTCACAAAAGCTTCACTTTGTTGTACGCGTGATATGGCTCTAGTTCTTTTTTTTCGCATGATTATAATTCAGAATATTCCATGTTTGCCAACAGGCAGCTCACCCCTGGAGCTCCCTCTATTACTCAGGGGTTGCCAGCTTCCCGTTACAATACTGCTGCTGATGCCCTCGCGGCACTAGTAGACGCTGCAGCCTCTGCTCCTCAGATGGAAGTTGCCAAAGCAAAAGAGAACAAGCACGAAGGAACCAGGATAGAAGAGAATATGGGACGCCGGTCAGCTGTGGTTACTGAACAGCAGCAGATGGAACAGAAGACACTGGACGTAGAAAAGAGGCCTGTCCAGTGCCCCTATACATCTGCAAATTTTTCTGGTGGCAAGTCCCAGGGACAGTCTTCATCAGTAGTCTATTCGGAGGCTGGTAAAGAGAAAGGACCTCCTCCTAAATCCAGGTACGAGGAAGAGCTGAGAACTCGAGGAAAGACCACAATTACTGCTGCTAACTTCATAGATGTGATCATCACTCGACAGATTGCTTCAGACAAGGATGCACGAGATAGGGGCTCTCAAAGTTCAGATTCTTCCAGTAGTTGTACGTATCTTAGTAACTGTCTACTTCTTTGATGTCTGTCTTAGCCTTTTAGGGAAATGTGAAATGATTCTGATGTTTAATGATGTAAAATGTTCAGCTCTGCCCAGTAGAAACGCTTCATAGACAAATACAGTTTTTGCATGTAGTGACTTGATATTCCTGCACAATCAGAGTTGTTTGTTTTATTTGAATTCCATGCTACAACATGAAATGCAGAATGATAAGACTAACCTTACCAGAAGTCAGGAAACCTAAAATTATTTGCTTTATGTTGGAACACTGTTTTATGGAAGTATTTGTATCGCCATGGTTATCATAAGAAGGAGACAGTGTTTTGACTTTTCATTTCACCAGTGTCATTTGAATGGAAGTGCTAGTGTTGCTATGTATAGGCAACACAAAATCTTCTGAGATATTTACACCTTATTCCACAACCTTTGCTTGATATTCAAGTATCCTCCCACCGGTATGAAGCTCCTGGAGATGCCATTGAGGTGATTAGCCCTGCAAATTCACCCGTACCTACTCAAGAAAAGCTACAGCCCTATCAACAAGAGACACCTAAACCAAGCCAGGCAGAGAGTAAGTTGATCTGCATATGCAAATATTCCCATAATTACCTTGCTTATATTTACCGGCTCCATGAACTCATAATAAAGTTAAAATATCTTGGGAGTCTTTAAGTGACTGCTTACCATGTTCTAAACTTCTCACAAGCTTTTGCTGGAAGTATATTGTTGCAGTGAAAAACTAGAGCAAATGTATTGGAACTGACACTTGGCGTTAAACAGGGCTCCTTTACATTACAGTGTAGTCGATTTAATAAGAAATTTATTTTCAATATATTCTTTAAAATTACTGCATATTGGTGTGGATGCCTGCAATTTTTTACCTAGTAGTAAATCTCAGACTATTATAATACAGTTTGCAGGTGAGAAATAAGCTGAAATTCACCTGCATTGTGGAATGAAGCTTTATTTATCAATTCTAAATTGCAGGGCCTATATATGAGGGGGGAAAAGGTGATTTATCACACAGGATACCTAAAATCTAATGCAGAAACACCTCATCTTTTAAATTTGTAAGCACAGAACTTTCAAACCTTGAAGCTTCAGTAATACCGTCCTAACAGACTGACCTTTTCTATTTTTTCTTCTTCAACTAGGTGACCCAAACAGGCAATATGAGGGGCCGATTCACCGCTATAGGACACAACAGGAACCCCCTTCACCCCAACAACCTCCGCCTCCCTCTTCCCAAGCAGAAGGGATGGCACATGTGCCCAGGACCCATCGACTCATCACCCTTGCTGATCACATCTGTGTAGGTTTATTTGCATGCATCTTTTCAGATGTGAAAAGTTATATCTTGATGATGAAAACACATATTTTGGAATATAAGACCAATTCTGTAATTATTAGTTTTACTTGAGGATATTATATAATAATGTGTCTGAACAAAAAATCATCTCATTTGTTGGAATCGGTCTCATACTCGTCTGGTCGATGTGAATACATACGCTTTGGCCAATGTCTGACCAAGATCTCTTTTCTGTTTCTTTGGCCACAATCAGCAAATTATTACACAAGACTTTGCTAGAAACCAAGCAGCTTCTCAGGCCTCTTTGCAGCCTCCCACCACTACATTCCAGAATTCCACCCCTGCACCAACGCCTGTTTCTACCCGGGCAAAGACATCGAATCGCTACAGCCCTGAGTCACAGTCGCAGTCTGTCCACCATCAGCGGCCAGGTGCTAGAGTGTCACCTGAAAATCTGTCTGACAAGTCCAGGGGAAGGTAATGCATGTATTCAATTTCACTGCCAATTTAATTAGTGCCCAAACAGGATTTTTATAAAAAATAGCACAGTAATCCTGATATAGAACAGAAGTAGAGGTATCTTCTGGTCTGTTTTTAGGCAACGTCTGTCTTGCAGTTTTGGACAATTGCTTGGCTCCATAACATAGCTTATAACTGTTTTCCCTTTACTTCTTTTACTTAATTTCCAGTCTTTAGAGAGGCGAAGATGTTTTATTACTTAGAACTTATCAAGAGTCATTATGGACAATTCAAAGGCAGCTCTTTGAGATTGCCAAGCATACTAAAGCATGTAACATACATAACTAGACATAGGTGGTTATGTAACAACTGGAATGCAATTACATGTGTTAGCTACTGCTTTACATGCATTAAGAGCACTTATCTGTCTCTGAATTATGGATGTAGACCTGGAAAATCTCCAGAGAGGAGTCATGTCTCTTCAGAGCCCTATGAGCCAATCTCACCACCTCAGGTCCCAGTTGTACATGAGAAACAGGAAAATGTTCTTTTGCTTTCCCAAAGAACTGAGCCTACTGAACAGAGGTATGTGTAAAACTGAATTTTAAAAACATTATTCTGGACATTTGTGCTGCAAACAGTATCTTTATTAAAGAGCAGTTTAACATTTACTTCAGCAATGTTTTTATGCTAATGTGACAAATTATGCACAGAAAGTGTGCCAGCTACTGTGAACATAAAATTGATAAGGGCTATGAAATACAGAACGTGGATCCTAGTCTGAACTTGTGCCATAGAGCAAGGATGGCTAACTGGCAGCTCTTGAGCCAGATTCCAGTCCCTGAGGTTATTTTACCTGGTTTCTAAGAATACCTGAGATAGCTTATTTGCTTGGACCATGTGTGACAGGGTGGGTGAGCAGACTTAAAAAGAAATACATCCTTTTTAGTGGCATACTGGGACCAAGAGTGAGAAGAAGATTGTAAACAGGAGGAGCAGCTGAGTATTTGGGCTTCTGGCTTGAACATCTTGTAACCTACCGGTTTGCAGTGCAAACTTTAGCCAGCATGCAGGTTGCAAGGCAGAAGTAGGCACTCCTGAGATAAAATTTCTAAGAGCATCATCTCTGTACCACTCTCCAGCACAGACAATGACATGGTCACTTTTTCTGTGAGCTGTAGGATCTTAAACTCTGTTACCTGGGTAAAGCAAATGTTCTTGGAGAGTCATTAGACTTGTCTAGTCCCCAAAAAACAGGCTGAGGAAAGAGGCTTAAAGCTTGTATGAATGTTGGTGGCTTCTGCCTGACTGCTTTTGGAAAGATTGAAATGTACATCTTGAAAAATGTTCTCTCTCTTTAATGCATGTTGATCTTGGCAGGACTGACTCTCGCTCTCCAGGTAGTATCAGCTACCTGCCTTCGTTTTTCACCAAACTTGAGAACACTTCACCAATGGTAAAATCCAAGAAACAGGAAATATTTCGAAAGCTGAACTCATCTGGTGGAGGTGACTCTGACATGGGTATGCAGGACTTGCCTTTTCACTGAATTTTTGTAAAGGTGTCTTGAAACTGAATGTTTTGTGTTTTCTTGGCCCTTATGATTATGGTTGTTAAAAAGACATATCTTAGTATAGTTTCAGTAATAGATACTGACATGGTGGAATGTGATACTAGAACAATATTTTTGTTTTTCTCTTGAAAACCTAACAGAACTTTGTATCAAAATTATCAGTAGTGAGAGTTTAAGCTGTTTGTGAAGTCAGAACCTCATAGAGGGTGTTTATTTGAAAGTGAAAGTTCTTGCATTGAGCAATAAATTAATCTCATTCTGAGAAACAAGGCTGTGTCAGTAAGGGTTGCAGTGTTTTTTATTGGATCCCCATTGTGTGCGCAGTAGGTTTTGCGCTGTTGAAAACTTCATGTGCGTGCTTGGCTTACAAGCACACTTCCCATTGCTGCCAATAATATTTTCATTTAGATACTGAATTCAGTGTTATGGTTTAAAATCTTTACTCTCAAATTGCACATAATATAGGTAATGTGGGGGAGGCGGTGGTTCAGCCACTCCAAAGTTGTTGCCATTTATTTTTTTAATACATACGAATACTCAGCCTGTAAGGTTGAAACATTACGTTTGTATCTAGCAAGTCAAATGTAGCTTTGCATTTTAAAGTTTATAGATTATGAAATTTCAAAAAGTCAGCCTGCTTCCTGAAGTAACATCTTTAAAAGGTTAGCCAGGACCATATAAGATACTTTTACCCTGGTATAGATCGTTTTCCTGAGAAGACATAGATGCACATTCATCTTAGAAGACTGAGAAAGAAAAACATTAAAACTTTTGAACATTGAAAATAGTTCAAAAGTAATTATACCTTGTGCGTTAGGACTAGTAGTGATCACTTACAGTGATCATCAGTACTGAAAAAGTCAATGAAATGTTGTGTTTTAATTGCAGCAACTGCTCAGCCGGGGACTGAAATATTCAATTTGCCAGCAGTCACTACCTCAGGTAAGTTTTTCAGTAAAAGAAACAACACGTGTTTCAGAAAAAGTAAACTGAAGTAATATCTTTCATTTATATTCTTTGGGGAGTCCAGTAAATGAGGAAGGTGATGCAAATTTAAAAGGTCATATCCTACATGAAAATTTGTTTCCTGTATCGTAGGGAAAAGAAAATTACCAAAGGAAGTTTCAGAAAATACTTAAATGGGAACTTAAGCAAGAATGATTTATTTCTGTGTGCTCTGCAAATCTTACACAGAGGTAGAAGTCATTAAATTGGTTAGCATCTCACTTAAGTAGAATTTACTTTATAAACTGGGATATTCAAAATACTGAAATTTCTTTTTCATATGATAAAAACATAGTAAAACCCACCAACTTTCTTTGAGACAAGGAAATTAAATATAACCAATACTTTTACTGTGTGTGTTAGAGGCAAGTGAGGCAGAGAATTGAACTGAAATGTGAGAGATAAGAACTGCTGTATCTGAATCTGGAGGTGTACCACAGATTGACTTTACTCATGTCAGTCGCTACCCGTTCTGGTACAGTGCTTCCCTCTTATAAATGGAGAAGGTGCTGAGCTCTGTTAATTTAGATGGAAGGCAAGCTGTTAGAATAAATATTTGCCATGTATCACACTTCATAAGACAAATTAGTATGGATTATTAATAGGAGAAATATTCTTCTGGTCTCTTCTCTTACAGCTGAATAGTAGCTGCAGATTTCACTTGATATGCTATCACAATCAGCATGCTCAGCTTCCTTTGCTACTTAAAAACAAACAGAAAAACTTAACAGTAAAGTCTGCCCTCTTGCTAAGAGTCTGGCATTCAGTGGCACTACTGACATAGCTCTTCGGTGTTTGTTGGCATGTCTAGCCTGTAGCCATTTTGGAGTGTGTAGCTTTGCTTTAAAAAAAAAAATAATCTCATGTTTGTTTGGTTTTTTCCCCCCCACCTTCCTGCCTCTTTCTAAAATCTTTTCCCGTATCCCTTTGTAATTTCTCTGAGATCCGTTTTTTGCCTCCCCTCCCACCTTTCCCTGTGTGTTTTCTTTTATCTCCCAGGTGCAGTCAGTTCTAGGGGTCATTCCTTTGCAGATCCTGCCAGTAACCTGGGTCTGGAAGACATTATTAGGAAAGCGTTGATGGGAAACTTTGATGACAAGAGTGAGGAGCATGGAGTTGTCATGTCGCCGTCTATTGCGGTAGCACCCGGCGGTTCCACTGCTGCAGTATCGGCAGCTAATGAGCCGCGTAGGGAAGAAGCTAATCCATCGCCAAATTCAGGTGGGGTATTGCAGCTCCTAAATATTTCATGGTCTCAATTTCTTTTTTTTTTTTTTAAAGTGTCTGAATAACCCTGGTGTTGCTGAAAATCACTGCCTTTCCTCTGGAAGTGATAGAGATGGTGTTTCCATTCCCTTTAGTGGTCCTGGCTTTGAAAACGGTGCTGGTGACTTGAGGAACATTAACCAGTATTTCTTGGAGAATGACAACACTGATAAATCAGGGAAGAGATAGCAGGGTTTATTAGATACATGAAGTTTCTCAGTGGTGTGATGAAAATGCACGGGTAAGGAACATGGGACAGTGGGAGCTAGCTTGAGCTGAAAACATCTCTGTTCCTGAAAATGGAAATGTAACTCCATTGTTGTAAGAATACAGACTTTCTAGCAATACTGTGTCAGAAGACTAGCTCATACAGTCACTAATTGTGGTAAATCAGCATTCCTGAAGGCCCCAGTGTGAAACTCCTGTTTGCTGCTGCGTGATAATTTATAGAAACAAAGATACAGAGGCTAAAATGCAGTGAAACCAGATTGTAAAATCTGTCCCTTCTTTCCAGGAGGGGGAGTCAGCAAGCAGAAGCTAATGGGCAAGTCAAATAGTAGGAAGTCTAAGTCTCCGATTCCTGGACAGGGATATTTGGGAACCGAAAGACCTTCTTCTGTCTCATCCGTACATTCAGAAGGGGACTACCACAGACAGACTCCAGTGTGGGCCTGGGAAGATAGGCCTTCATCAACAGGTGGGAAATGGGTTTCTTTCAAACTTAACAAACCAGATGTGGTATTTGTAGAAGGGTCAGATGGAGACATACCATAACACTGGTATGTTGGTCAAAAGTTTACAGCATGTGAGGATTTTCTGAAACAGATTTTCTGCTAGTTTAGTTGTCGCAGTCAGAACCAGACTACCTTTCAGATACGGGTCTTTTAGAAAAGCTCATGGTTTTGACTTGGGGAAATTCTCTTTGATTCAGGTTCAACGCAGTTTCCTTACAACCCGTTGACGATGAGGATGCTCAGCAGTACGCCACCAACATCCATTGCGTGTGCCCCGCCGTCCATGAGCCAAGCAACCACTCACCAACAGAACAGGATATGGGAGCGAGAGCCTGCACCGCTGCTTTCAGCACAATATGAGACTCTGTCTGACAGTGATGACTGAACTATGCAGATTTTTTTTTTTTTTTCTAATTTGCGGGTCAAAAAAAGAAATCTATTTTTGACTTGTGCCCATAGAGACTTTCCAAGAGAGCAAGGGCCATACAATGAAGAATTGATGGAGAGTCCGTTAAATGCCTTCTGCACAGGCCGTGTGTTGGAGGATCGTGATCAAGAAGGTTGACTTACTAAAGATAAATATGTAAAGAGTTTTTAAAAATGTGGACTATTCCTGTTCTACATCTATTTGTAAAGAAAACCATAATGTCTTTAAATCATTCTTCTGTAAATAGAGAGTACTTTTTGCAGTGTTTTTTCCCTTGCTATAGTATCTGGTGTACTTATGTTCAAATCATTGCCTAAACTTTGGGGGTCATTTTGTAATTTTTTTTTTTTAAGCATTTTCTCCAGTGTAGAGTACTCTTCATAACCCTAGCCTCCCTACCAGCCTAGCCTAACCATAACCCTAGCCTCCCAACCAGCCTAGCATCATTGCCCATTTAATGCCGTGCCACTTCTTGCGGGCATTGTGCTTTTATATAATTTTTTTTCCCTAGACACACTTTCTCAGTGGTGTTCAAGCTCTTGTGAAAATGTTGATTTTTAAGACTGACCCCTTAATGAATTCTGTACATTAACATAGTCCGGTTCGCTGGAATGAGATGATATATTTCTTTGAATTTTAAATTCTGCCACATTGTAAATTTTTGGTGCAGTTGGTTTTATTTAGCAACACTGCAGAAATATTATTGCATGGGTATGTTATGGTTCATTTTTAAAAGGATAAAAAACAAAAACAAAAACAGAACAGCTTCTGGAGGCATACCTCACTGTTATGCACACTGGGAATTTTAATGTGCCCCAAAAGCCTATCTTAGTGTTTTCTGTTTCTGCATTGTATGCAGTCAAAACAAGCTACTAAATTTTACTGTCATACGTAACCACAGCAAATGGCTTATCTGAACAGAGGCTCTGGGTGGGTTGATAAATCCTTTAAGAAGAAAAACCTCTACATCCCAACTTTAAATAAAACAAAATGCTTTTATAGAGTAATTGAGCAACACACGAGTCAACTACTTGGCTTCTGTTACAACCAGTTTGAAATATAGGTACTGTGATTTTTACCTTCCTCCAATCTGATTTTAAAATCTTTATGTAATAATTATTTTAAAGTCTGTGTTCCCATCCCAATCCCTAGCCCTATACGCAAGCTTTTAGTGGAAGTCCTTACAAATGCTTGGCTTATCTCCTAAAGTGTGCAATACTTGTTAGGGTGATTTTTACTTTTATTTTTAAGTTGTATATGGTACTAGGAGAGTCTCCTTAATCATTCAGTATCGATGCCTGCTATGATATGCTTGTAGCTCATGTATACATACACACATCTGGTTAGCAATATCACAGGGTGTCCTGACATCCATCTTACTTTTTGCTGCACTGACTTCAGGAAGTGAATTTAAATCTTCCGGGGTAGAAGGACTGATTTACAGATAGCACTGAGTTGGGGGGCGGCATGGTCTGTCAGATTCCAAACTGCTTTTGCATCTCATCGATGAACAGAGTCTTTGCCTTGAAGTTATTTTCCAGTTAACACTGTATTTGCGATACGTTGTATGGAAGGTGTAATGCAGCTGCGTAACCTTAAGGTGCGTAAGCTCGACATCGCAGAGAAGGACAGTAATGGTCCAGTTACAGTACGTAGTACAGAACCATATATCAACAGCAAATCTACTTTGAGAGGAAAGCCTTTTTGACCTAAGGGTGGGAAGGAAAAAATCCCAAGGAACTCATGTGGAAACCTGACACTGTGTTGCAAATACAGAATTATTTTGCTACTTTTTTTTTTTTTTAAACACTGCATCAGAGTAGGTCAGTTAGCAGTCAATCTCCTTGCAGTCTTTCTCTAAGAAAGATTTTTCTCACCCTCCCATCCTTTCCCCTTCTGGCTTAAAGTAGTGAAGTTTTCATCTTGTTTGTAGACCTGTGCTCTTATTTTAACTTTTTTGTTCCCACAGCAACATATACTGGAAAACAAGTTGATCTGCCCTTTTTGTAGATTTAAATTGAGTGGAGAGTTAAGTTCCATTCTAAAACTCACTTATTCTCACTTAGTAACAAATACAACGTGAAAGAGGCATGTACAGACAAATGTCTTTGCTAACTGTACAGTAAGTAAAGCATGTTCATTGCAAAGCTTCATGTCACCGCTGCTGCAGCAGCAAGATATCCAAAGTAGGATAGTCACTTTCTCCTAAGATACAGCTCAAGTGGCATTTGCACATAAAATGTTGCTGCTTTTTTGTTTGTTATCCGAGTTCTAACTTCTCCGGTGTAAAAACCTCTCCAGAGCCTAAGTTAGGGTTTACCACAATTCCAGTAATCTTCAAGTATGGAATTACATCTGACCTGTTTCAAACAGGAAGGTGTTTGTAAATAATGTTTACAAAGTGTAGTTTACTACAAATTTTTAACTGATTTCTGATCAGCGCTTTCACAATGCTTTCATCTTGATATGTTTCGTGATTCTGATATGAAATCATTTAAGACTTGAAAAACCCATGCATCATAAAACTCAACTTTTTTTTTTTCCACACAATGTCTTCAGTAGACAGTGACTTCTGGATTCAGACCAATCAATAAAGGGGATCAGTTCTCCATTTGCTTTTCCTGTGTCTCCCTCTTGTTTTGCAGCATCAAGCTTTGTTCGTGAGAACAGGCAAAATACTTCCCCTAGGGAGTGCTGCAGGCTTCCCAGTTAGCACTGCTGGAGTGTCTGCCACCTCAAAGCCAAAACCCAGAACTGTAAAGATTGGCCCCAATGTGTTAGAGCCTTTCTGTTAGTACAAGCGTGTCTGTAACAGCCCTGTTTTTCCTTCCTAGCTTGCAGAGAACGAAGCTGTGTATGTGACTTAAGTTTTTCCAGCTTCAGTGAACATCTCTAGAAAACCCGTGTGCTGCCTCTTAGCTCAAAGTTAAGCAGAGCTGAAGCCACTAATGCTACTGTAAGTAAATAATGATGCAATTAACATTAAGTGCTTACAAATGAGAGGTAAAAATAATGCTTGGTTAGTGACAGAACTAGTTAGTTCTACTATCCTAGCTAAACGCAGATTTGATAACTTCTGGTTTAATTCTCCTTTGCCTTTAACAGTAGGCTTCCCTGCAGGGCAGAACTGAAAAGTTCTGTGGTATAACTAAATTCTGTTCACAGTAAATTCGCATGTAGCTTACAAACCCAACAGTTGGTACGTACCATCTTTTCCAACAGAAAGCCTCAGCATTCTAGCACTGACCCATCCAGGAAAGGAGGACAACCTTGGCACTTAGCGTGCTCTTGACTGGGGTAAGGTAGCAGGGTGTTATTTCTGACAACGGCTCTGTTTTGGTAACATGGTCTCACCCCTCCTCTGCGAGGACACGTTCTATCTTTGGATGCTAAATGCTTCGAAGAAAAACACTTGATCTTCAGACAACCTGTTTGAAAAGGATATGGAGCTACAGCTCTGCCATAGTACAGGTATAGTCTGGGAAATGCTCTGTTGAAGTTAATACATACCCAGCTGTAGCCCTGATGGAAATACACCCTGTTGTGCTAGCCAGTGTGTGGAGAGAGAAAATCCCTGCCTGTTCCCTTTCATGACTTAGCTTTAGTATAGCCATGTTTTGAAACTGAATACTTCTGTGAACAGCCAGGAGTAGCAAATGACTACTCCTTGACTTATTAACCGCAATACTAATACCAGGCTAGACCTGCACTTCGCTGGCAGTCAAGATGAAGTTAAAATCACTAGCACAGGCGGTGACTCTAAGCATAGACTACACCACAAATGTACATAGTTAAGATTTCATAACTTTATTTTGGGCAAAGTTGTTATGCAAGAGCAGCCCTTCTTGTTAATTGTCCTTAAACTCCTCATTGCTGTTCCCCTGGAGAATTGCACCAAACTGGTCCCAGGCTGCTTGTACTGCCCAACCCTTGCTGCTGTCAGCCACCTCTAGGTTGGACTCTGTGGCCAAACTTATTTGGAGCCTTTTCTCCTCTTGGCCAGCTCAGCTAGTTCTTCCTGGATATGCTGGACAGAAGCAACATCTCCCTTCTGTTGTGCCTGCTTGAGAGCTTCTTTGTACACTTGTTTTGCTTGCAGAAAGTCTTCTGTAGCAAGAGGAAAAAGTGGCATGGCTAGCTAATTAGATCACCCATTTTCAGAGTCCACATGCAAAGGACAAGCAAGGACTGCTTGGAACCCATCAACAACTAGGGAGGTTCAGAAAACATCCAGAACAGGGTGCCACCTATGAGAGGTGGGCAGCAGCAATAATAATGGGACAAGGTGCTGCTTCAGCATTAAGATCTCATAGAAACCAGTCTCAAGCATGTCTTCTGTCCTTTTGGAGCCACTTACTTAGGACAAGGGAAACAAGATCCCCTGGCAACCTTTTGAGTCAGATGCACCAGTACTGCATTTATCTTGAACAGGATCCTTCAGCAGCTGAACTCAGTTTGAACACACCACAGGTTGCCTACTCAGAGACCTACTGCTTAAACTAAAAATAGTAACACACAAATAACACTCCAGTTCAGTCCTACAGCACAAGTATCTGCAGTCAGCACCACCACAGTAACATAGGCTGGACATGTATTTACCTACCTTTGTGCATCAGAATTGCTGCCAGGTTGTTCAGCACCATGTGCTCCTCGGGGTGTTCAGTCTCCTTTGCCAGCTCAGCTGCCCTCTTCACATAGGAGTATGCCTCATCGTAGTGCCCCTGAGCATCCAGTACGGTTGCCAAGTCATTCATGAGGACCACAGTCTGCACCAGGACAGAAAAGGAAGCCTCAGAGCAAGACTCATGTAGAAGTCTGGGGCAGCAGGAGCAGCACATTCATACCCCTCTCACACTAGTAAAAGCAGTATTTCGCAGAGAAGCTTTCGGTAAGACAGTGTCTTATATTTACACATCAGCATGCTGCATGCTCATCCTTCCTGGAAGGAAAAAGAACCTAATTTAGTGCTGTATGTTTGATGCCAGCAAAGCTGTTTTTAAAGCTGCCTTATTCCCTAGGAGATTAGCCTTTCTTTCCCCAGTAGTCCAACTACCATTGTACACATCACCTGTGGATGAGTCTCTCCCTGAACATCGTTTGATATCTGCAGAGCCTTCTCGTACATTTTTTGGGCCACTGGGAGCTGGTTAATGTTTAGGAGGTAGCGAGCATAGGAGTCTAGGCTCATCCCAAGCAAGAGATGGGTGTTGGCCTTTTCTTCAGCTGCAAATAGAGAGGAGTGAAAGTGATCACCTCTACAAGATCAAGCATGAGTCTCCACCCTACAAAAGTAGGAAACTCATGCAGTGTGAAGACAATGGATTGACATGGAGATGATGCTTAGGCAATATGGAAAGCAACATCAAGTACAGGGAAGTGGAGAAAAGGCCATGAGAGAAGCCTTTGGAAGACAAGGCAGTCCCACCTGGTAAGACATCCTCAGGCAAGTCCTTTTGCTTGGCAATCTTCTCCTCTAAGGTCAGGATGCAGAACTGGTAGCCAGCCAGGGCTAATTTGTGCCTGCAAAGTGCAAAAACTCAGCAAAGCAAAGCTCCTTCCATCCCTGAAGGGACAGATGTGAACACCTTCAATTCCCCATTCTGGAAGGCCCTGTAAGACAACTTTTTCCCTTCACCAGAACCTTCCTGTCCTCTGTGCTCTCTTCTTGATCATGGCCTGGACCCTTCTCTCGACCCATGGGCAAAGGGATTCAAGAGGTGCAGAGGGCCCCCCCTCCTCCTCCCAGATAAGGCCAGCTAAGGCAACTCATGCTGATGCTCCACTGAAAAATGAAGCTACAAGTTACCAGGTACCAACTGCTTCAAAAGCCACCTTCTCCTGCGAGGTGTGCATTTAAAACTAAAGAGCCATGTCCTCTGTGTGTACTTCTGCCCTAAGCTGGGCAGGTCCTAACAGCAATCACTGTGCTACGTGACAGTGAGCAAGCAAACACCATGCCTATAGGAAGTTTTATGCTGATGCTATCTTGTCACATCAAAGCTTCCTCAGGCACTCTGTTCTTAAAAAGCCTCTGCTTGGCCGCCACTGCAAAGCTGAGATGAAAGCAAAAGATGCCTTTAGCAGGGAACTCACTGTTTCTGAGCAGCATAGATACTGGCCAGCTTGAGGGACATCTCAAGGACTGCATTGTCATCCTGCCAGGAGGACATACAATGCAACTGTTACTCTTCTTGCATCTCCCCAGCTGAAACGTTACTTTGTCAGAGAACAAGTTTAGACCTCAAAAATCCCCATCCTGTTGCCTCCAGAGCTGCCAACCATTAAAGGAAGTTCCCAAGAAGCCAGCAAGCTCATAGCTAGCATTGCTAATTTTGACCAGGAGGTAATTACAGCACAAGAGATAGACCAAAGAGTTGTACACCACGCTGTTAATACTTCCAGCTGAAAGCCTTTGTCAGAAGCACATACCTCCTTCGTGTCCCCTGCAAGCAAATAGCTCATACTTGCTTTGTACAGCTTTTCTGCCTGAAATGAGAATTTTGAAGAGGATAGTAAGGAATGACGGCAGTTAAAACAAAAGATCTCTACTCTTTACAGAGGCAGACTACTGGGAAAAACCCGTCTCACAGTTTGTGGAATTTACATTGTATGTCAAGACCAGCCAGAAGTGAAAGCCTAACCAGAGCCTGATGGTACTGATGGTACTGCCAACGAGTGGGTCCTTTCTGTTTCTACTTTAGAACTGCTATATGAGCCATGAGTTTACCACATCTGTGCGCCTTCAAGGCCTTCCTGGTTTCTCCTTGGGACAGCCATCTAAATGCTCAACTGTGGCATTTGACAGTAAGGAGTATTCCTTCCCTTGCACACCATGTTACAGCTCAAAATTTAACTGTGAAAGCATCTTTCTTAGCAGCAGTCCCAAGGCAGATTATTCTGCTTTATACCGGCAGATCTCTGCCTCACAACTCCCAGTATGCAGCTTGTCACAGCATGCCACACCTTCGAGATTTTGCACCAGATGTCAGCCTCTTAAAATTCAGAAGGGAAAAAAACCCCAGAGTTACTCACATTGTCCAGCTGTCCCTGCATGAAGGCCACGTTTGCCATCTGGAAGAGACACACCTTGCTGAAGCCCCACAAAGGCTGCAGGGACTAGCCTCAACACAACTGCTTTTCCTTCTACCTCTAGCCCCCACCTATGGCGATCCACCCCCCACCCCCAAAAAGGAACTGCAGCCCCACGGCGACTTCTAGCACG